ACAATTAACATGTTCCCCTACGTAGGTAAGAACTGTACCTTCATTTCCTGCAAGATAGGGCCAGTAACTTCAAACCCTCTTGCTAAAAGAATGGCCATCAGCATCTGCAAAGACTCGCAGTTGCAGCTGTTTTCCTGTTCTGGTATTAAATGATTATCCTAATAGTAATTTTGCCAGATAAGCAGTGAAGGCCACAAGAGGAACTTTTCTTTTGTCTGTGTTAAGGTTTTGCATAAATGCTCTGTATTCTTGCCTTTCCTGGTGGGGTTAAATTTGTTGAAATATCTCCATATTTCATAGTACTTACTGCCATGTTACTTATACTTGGGGGCCAGACTTTGGGAGGCTTTCCCAGGTAAGTTTAGTTATGTGAATCGATTCTGATTCATCTCTCAGTAAAGGTTATGAAATGCCTTTGGAATTTTTGAGATCAGGTTTACTCTTGAGGGTTGAACTGAAATGATGCTTCTAGAAAGGCTGAGGTAGAAGACAGGTGACAGGAGATAGTGAAAAAAGAGAGAAGGGAACCAAAATCTATTGAGCATCTATGATATGCTTAGCACTGTGACTGGTGGTTCAAAGATGATATCTCATTTTACCTTCCCAACAGCTGTTAGAGGAGATACCTCACTTTTTAAATTAGGACATTGAAACAGACAGTAGATAGCAGATTCACAATTCAAACTCAAACTTAGCAAATTCACAATTCAAACTCAAACTCAACTCTCTCTGACCCTCTTGTCTACTTCTCTGCTTCCTGTGTTTATTTGGAAAGTGTAGAGTTTTTAGTGTACCTGTAGTTTACATATGTCACTACTCTCTAATGACTTATTTATATGTATTCACAGACAAATGTTCAAGGCAGAAAGAAATACTACCAAAGTAACCTTCAATACATTCTAAGAGCAGTCGATGAACTGCTCTTAGTAGCTAATGAAATATGTATAAATTTTGAACTACCTTAGTATTGTGCATTGAAAATACATGTAATTCCTTCATTTATTACTATTTTCATCATCATTACTATATGCTAGTGATATCCTTCAATATGCTAAAGAGGTTTATGGAAAGCTGCCACAAAGAAACATAAATGCTACCCATTTAATTAGAGCATAAAGGAGGAATGTATTTTGAATCTTGGCAAATCTTTTATGAAAAAGAAATATAATACTTAAAAGCCTGGTTTCAGGGAGGCGGACTGCCTGGGTTTGAATCCCAACTTTGCCATGTCCTAGCCTGGGGTACCTTGGGTAGGTTACTGAACCGAATTTCTTCAACTGTAAAATGAAGATGCTAGCAACATCTTAGAAGGCTCCTGTGAGCATTTCCTGAATTGGGGTTCTGATGACTAGAACAGAACCAGAAACATAGTAAGTATTCAATAAATGCGGGCAATTTTATTTCTTTTACATGTGAAGAAACAGATCTGCATTTCAGCGACTTGCTCCCATGTTCTGTTTGTGGCAGAATTGGTGCTGACACTCAGATTTCCCATTCTCTCAGTCTAGTGTTGGGTGCTGCAGTGACATCCAGAGCAGCACAGGACAAGGAACTAGGATCTTTCCTCTACTGTTTCCCCTACTCCAAATCAACCAAAAATGCTACTTCTGTGCCCAAGTATCTAATGTCCACCATAGGGGCAGTTTATCAGTCCAGTTCCCAGATAGAAAATCTTTCCCAGGGTCCCTGGTTACTCTGCTGCTAAGCCAGCTGTCACAGTCTTATGCTGTCATCCCCTAGCTAGTGGTTCCTAGCATACCAAAAATATTAAAAGACTCTACCAGGTCTACAATCCATATCTATAATTTTGAAATCCAGAAAGCTCTTAAATCTGAAAACTTTTTCATAATTCATTTGACTGTAAAACTTGTTCATACCTGAACTTATTTGGTGACAAAACACCTGAACTGACATGTTTATCATTTGTGTTTTTCCCGTATGGTGTGCGTATTCATACAGTTCAGACTGCAGACACACTAATGCATTTACTCACAGAATAATGCCCCAGTTCGCATGAGACACATGTCAGTTAGGGTCTTGGCAGGAAGAGATGGGCCATTCAGTAAAGAGACTGTCTATAAAGATGTGGGTGGGATGAAAGACCAACAAGGGATATTTGCAGGAGGGTAGAAGGAGGGATTAACTTAATGAACCAAGAGCTGTTACTACCCCTAGGTCTGAAGGGCTAGATAGCAGTAGCATTACTGGGATCCAGAGAACAGCATGGGGGAGGGCTCCGGTCAGGAGCTATGGCCTTAGGTAAAAGGAACCAGCCAATAGCAAAATAAGAAGAGAAGAACCTTGGGAAATAGATACCCAAGCCGGTTTTCCACCTCCTTCTAGATCTTCTGTTGGTGCCTCTCTTTGGTTGCACTTTTCCCGAAACCAGAGGCAAGGGAGCTTATAAAGACAGATGATAAAGTAGGCCACTAGGCCCAAGCAGGTAGTGAGGGTGGCACATGGGTCTGGAGGGCAAAAGGAGAATATCTTACACAATGTATTCTATAATATACGATATGTGCATTTTATCATCTTTATGAGAGCTGAAAACTGAAGAATGCTTACAGTGTTATATTTTAATAAGTCAACAGTATATTACATACATGCGAACAGCATAATACATACATGTGAAACATTTTTAGTTTGCAGTGCCATATGGACTTATGAACCATGTATAATAATTCCTTGGATACCCTGAAAGATGGGAACTACTGCTCTAAAAAGTGCTATTTCATTCATTGATTCATTCATTGATTCAATGTTCATTCATTCAACAGATATGCCTTATTGATTGCCTGCTTTGCAAAACACTATGGGCTCTGAGATATAATGACAAAAATATATCACTAGCCCTTCTAAAACCTTACATTTAGGAAAAGACATGAATTTGTTGGAAGATAGTAATACAATCCTGGGTTAGCAAATAGTTCCATCAAAAAGCTATCTTGCTGCGGGGCCTCTGTTTTGAGAAGATTTTGTGACCACATCTGGGCTCAGTGGATAAGCACTCTGATCTAATAGCTACATGCGATGTGGGCATAGGAGTGGAGCAGTGTATGTACACAGTGTACAGTTTTGGCTGACTGTGCTTTAACTACATGGCAGGGTGAGATTATTCCTACGACAGAAGTAATTTCCACAGGAGGGAAGATGGAGGGGTAAACTTTGAATTAGGAATACCTGAGAAGACTTCATGGGGGTAGGTAGAGGGTTTTTAAGGATTTGCAGACAGGAAAAACAGGTAAGAGCAAAGGCAAAGTAAAAGTGCTTGACAGGCTGGGTAAGTAGGCCACAGGGTCTTGGGAGTAAAAAAGTAGTAGGTGGCCAAAATGGATTAGAAAGAAGCTACTGTAAGGAATTCTGACTTTATTTTGTAGTAAATGGGTTATACCTGAAGGCTTTTGAGAAGGAGAGGTCCTTTGTTTTAGGGAAATCATTCTACCAGCACTTTGAAGGAGGAGAAAGGTTCAAGAGGAAGGTGATGGAAAGTAATCTATGTCAAAAAAGGATTGCCATCACCAAGTGACGGTGATGTGAACACAAAGACAGTAGCAGTAGGAATAGAAGGAATGGTTGGCAGATAATTTGAGAAAGAAATGACAAATTTGATACACTGTTGGAAAGGAGTCAGAGTAACTCCGAGGTGTCTAAAATGTGAATATACAAGAGAAAGAGGAGGGATGCTGCAGCTGGCATCAGAGAGCACTGATGCAGTGTTGGACATCTTGAGGCAGAGTTATGGCCAAAATATTTTCAAAGAAATACCCTGCAGGTATTTAAAATTGTGAGTCTGTAGTTCAGGTTAAAAAAAAAAAAAAAAAAAGGCCAAGGAGAAATTCCATGCCCAGAAAAAGTTCCACTACCATAATTCCTTCTGGTAATTCTAAAATTCAAAAAGCTATAAAGAATACACATTTTTAAAAAAGTTTGGTATCAAAACTTGTTTGATGACAAACCTGACCAGCATCGCTATAAGGCTAATAATAGACTTTATTTATTCCACTAAGGTCAATTTTTTTTTGTTTGGCTAAAGAAATAATATGTTTGAATACAGAGTGCTGTCCCAAATTGTACCGGATGGAGGGTGTTCCATGTTAAATGGTGCATGCACCAATTAGCTTTTAAAATTAAAAAAATGTTTATAAATGCTGAAATATATCTGGTCCCAAGGTTTTAGATGAAGCATTGTGAACATGTATCAGTATATTTTTTCTTTATTTCACATTTTAAGAAAATATTATCTTAGTTTTGATGTGTTTGGCGCTAAACAGTAGGTAAACAGATGTCTCTTTGTATATGAAAGTTTTGGAGAATGAAGCATTCTTTGTAGTGCCTTTTCTGTACACTGATGTTTGATAAGTTTCTTTATTCATAAAATTGGAGTACTACCTACCTCATAGAGTTGTTTAAAGAGCTAATGTACAGGATCCAACACATAATGAGTATTTTGCTAAATGTTAGTCATTATTATCCCACCCTTTAATTGACAAAATATTTTCTAAAAAGCATTTTGGATGAAAATTTTTTGCTTTCCCACCCCAGAACGTGCTGTGAAAACAAATGTCTCCCTTGATGAATGTGAAGGAAGTAGCGGAGAGAATCACATTTCTTGAGAACCTAGTATATAATTGGTGCTTTTAACCTCACGAGAAGAATATTATTTTCCTCCATTGCACAGATACAGAAACAGATCCTGAGTTGTTAAGTAGCATGACCCAGGTCGCCCCCCAGTAAGGGGTGAACTACTCTTTTCACTCTACCTAGTTCCCAGGGGAGTGTAAAAGACAGCAGGTAAAACACCTTGTCAGGCAGAGTGTGAAAGATAAGAGTCAGCGTAGGCCCCTTTCTGGGCTTCCCCCACCCCCACCCCCAATAAAGACCTCTGGAAATAACATGCATTCATCCCATAAAAATCAAGTCTAATTTTCAGACCAGCGGAAAGTAGTGTCTGTTAATTTGATCAGGATTGGGGAGAGGAGGAAGGGGATGTGGGAGTGAGGTCAGAGTCTGGTTGTTGTGGCATTGAGTGTGAGGGAGGGACCTGTTCTGTTTGCTGTAAGAGGGAATTACTGCGGGAAAGGAAATCAAGTTTGTTGTAATTTGACTAAGTACACAGGAACGTAATCCGTTTCTTTAATTTTTGATGTAGATGTTTTAAATGAAGACTGTCACATTTTCTTCCTTTTTTCCCCAGACCACACACTTCCCGCACTGTAGATCTGGCCCCTCTCCTCTGCCAGGGCTTCCAAGGCACAGTTTCTTTCTCTCACTCTTTGCTGCCAGGCAGGAAATGTTCTTAGCTATCGGATAAGTCTCCCGTTTGAAGTTGGGGGGTAGGGGAAGAAAAGGAAAAGGAAAAGAAACAAAGCAAGAAAAACTTTACTAGAGCAGTGAGCCTGAGCCCCGAAGGGATCACGGCCGGTTTCTAGTTTCCTAGAAAAAGGGATCCCAGCCCCACCTCTCCTTCCTCACCGCACCCCCCTCGAACTCCCCCCTCATTTCTTCTGGGCGTGTTTTTCAATCTATGCTAATAGGATTGCCTGGCGGGCGGGGCAGGCTTCCCCTGACAGCCTGGTGAGAGCCCTCAGGAGCAGGACGGGCCCTGCTTCCTCGCCGGTGACAGGGTCCTGGTGCCTGGTGCGCTGGTCCATGCTGGTTCCCGCCTTTGTTCTCGGGCCGAAGCCGAGACATGCGCGGCTGACGATGGAAGTGGAGGACGCGGGCGGCGTGGTGCTGACCGCCTACCATTCGTACGCTCGCTCCCAGCCGCCCAGCTCCGAACCGCGCTGCACGCCCCGGGGCGCCACCAGTCACCCGGGCAGCAGGTACCGACAGCCACTCCGAAGGGAGCAGGGGTTTCCTGGGCTTCGGGATTTCACCTTGCAGCTGGGTTTTCTGCCAGGGAATACCACCACCAGAACTTGACTGTTGTTTCAAGTTTTGGTTGACTGCATGAGTGAGGCTACTGTTCTTTGTATTGTCCTTTATTGGAAGTGGAAATGCACGGAGTCTCAACCCCAAAGGCCTTGGCTAACAATGAGGTTAACGGCAGAATTGTGTTCTTGATACAACCTGGTGATAATAGTCACATGCCTCATTTTTACCAGATTCACCCTTTGAAGTATTAGAAAAAATTTAGAAAATCATGCAAAAAGTGAAAAAAATTAAAATGCATTATCCTAAATCCTTTAGCACTAACAAGAGCTTCTTTAGTAACTCCATGCCACCTGAGCTAAAGCATAGATGGAGAGATTCTTCAAAAAGTAAATCTCAGTAGACTTTTTAAAGCAATTTTATTTCTAGATTTTAAAAAAACTTTCGATTCTATAAATACATTGATATTATTATTTTGTTATTGCTAATGTTGATTCTGTTCTGTAAATGTAATTATAATTTATTTCCTTTGGGTCAGAAGAGGTCTATAGCTATCTCACTATGTGCATTTTAGATTTAATAAATCAGAGTTCTTTGTTAAATTATTCTGTCAGTGTCAAGGCTAATGAGACTTTCATTGATTAAGCCAAAAGTGTTAGACTCTTAGGAAGTTTCTGTGGGTAGACAAAAATATTACACTAATAAGTGAGATGGTTTGATATCTGACACATTTAGAGGAAGTTTTATTTGTTTTAATGTGGCTATTTGGCTGCTGTGGATCCATTGATCAGTGGTTTTCTTTCCAAGTGGGGAGTTTGAGTGGTGTGCTTTTTCAAAGCATGTTTATTTTCAGTCATTTATTTCTTCTTGTACTTTTATCTTTAGTTATGTGATAATGATGATATGTTTTCTAATTTAATTGACTTGTGAGGCTTCCAACTGATTGCACCTTTTTTTTCAAGCAATATCCATGAGAAGAAGAACATGCATTATGAGATCTGTTTTAGGCATGGCTAACAGAGAAAATATTGTTTCTTTCAAAAAGAGCAAATTGAATGAAATCTAATTTTTATATAAAGATAATGATAAAATAATATTTTTCTTTCAGCTATTTAGGGGCTACGCACATTATTTTAAAGGCTACTTGAAGAAACAAGCTTGTATTTGTCTTTAGGGCGTTTTCTAAGTATAATCATTGACTTTAATTACTTAGATTATGGGAAACTAAATAGATTTAAATAGTTTGATGAGAAGCAAGGGCCAGGTTTGTGCATTTTTAAATGGTTCTGGTATAGCTGTCCTGTCTATAACTCCCAACAGCTGTCTAGGAGCAATAGCCAGATTGTGCCATTTGGGCTATGTGAAACTGCATCCGTTTCCAAAGCAAACTAGAGAAGTTCCATTAACTCAGCATGTGGTCTTGTGGAATGATAATACATGAGAGCAGAAGAGTTGGGTGTCATGTTTTACCATACAGTTGCCAATTAGATTTATGTTGCTCCAAGTTTGCATCTTTGGTGACTGACCTGCACCCTCTCTATAGGGACCTTTGTGTCACTCACCCTCTGATGCAGGAGATAAATGACCCCCCTCCCCTGCAACTAAATCAAGAGAGAATAGAGAATAGCTTAATTCCTTGGTTCCCAGTAACAGTAATCAAAGAGAGGTTCCTGTGTTTAGTGGAGCCAGAGGACACCATCAATCATGGGTCTGATAACAGAAATAATCAGGCCTAAGTCATTAACCTTTGACTCACTAACTACTGATCAATACTTCCTTTCAAGCCAAAGAGCAAAATTGTATTGTTCTGCTTATGAAAAAAGCACTTTCTCTTTTCATAATACCCTTTCCTTTAAATTGCTTACATATGTTTAACATATTTGAGGAGTAGTGACCAGTATGGCACTAGGAAGCATGGACTATTGTATCTGACTTTCTAAGTATCATTCTTTAGTTCTGGGTAGCATGGGTTCAATTCAAAGCAAACCATCTCCTTAATTTCCAATTTCTAAACCTCTACTCCATCTGACTTTATGTTCTGTTGATTTTTTTTTTTTTGGCCTATTTCTCCCATAAAAATATTATCTCTCTTCTGTTCTCTTCTCTCTCCCTCTCTGCTGCCCTACCCTCTCCCCCACTTCTTTTTTCTTCACTGCTGTATCCCAAGTGCCTAGAATAGTATCTGGCACATTATAGTACTTCACTAAATATTTGTTAAATAAATTAATGAATCCTTACCAAGATTATAAAATGGCCAGGATAAAATGGTAGGGTTTTTAACAGCCGAAGGCAGCCTTTTTGCATCTACTATGTGCCAGCAACATATTAGGCATTAGGGATACAAAGTCCCTGCCATGAGAATATGGCTCTTTACCTTTCAGACCAATAATATTTTTAGAAAAAAAAGATTGAAATAAATGGCAATATTTCAAAATCAAGAGGCTTCAGATATATATCTGGACTGCCAGCTTATCACAAAGAAAAGGAAGGAAGGAGGGAGTGAAGGAAAGATAGAAGGAAGGAAAGAAGGAATGAAAGAAAAGGAAAAGGGAAGGGAAGGAAAGGAAAATCAAAGCAACTCAAAGGATCCAGCAACTCAGGCTGAAGCAAATTAATGGCTGTTCCATTGCACACTTCATCCTCTTACTCTTCAACATTGAAGCTGGGTGTCCATTGTAATTTATTTTAGGGCCTTCCTATTTTATTTTATATAAATAAGTAGCCAGTATAAATCGTACTTGCCAGTTACTCAGGCTTAGATCAGATTGCGACTCTACACATCACCTACACCATTTACTGCCTTGCTTCATCTGCTTAGAATAGTGTCTGACACCAAGGAAAAATCAGATAGTTGTTAGCTATGTTATTACTGTTATCACTTTTAATCTCAGTTGTTGTTGCTATAAATAGGAAAGTAAAACATTTCTGGTACCTATCTCCAAAACTTATTCATACAGGAAAGAGATTCAAGAATACTAAGCGTTTATTGGGAGGGAGAAAGTAATTCCTTTTTTCCCACAAATATTCTGTGCTTTACATTTTAACATGTAAAGATAAAACAGAATGAAGGATTATAGATTCTCAGTTCTTTTAAAACAAATGTTGGAACTGTCTTCAGAATCATGTTATTTTTATAGAGGCTAAGCTTCTAGACCCTTATTCAGAATCCAGAATGAAAATGTTGACATACATACAAAATAACTTCACTTTCAAAATGAAGATGAAGATGAAGCTGAACAACTTCAGCTGAAGATGAAGCTGAACATTGTTTTTCAAAGATTTTCTAAGTTATATACAAATAATATATACAGCATTTTTCGGTGAAGGTATAGTATTAAATGGCCATGAGTATTTCTGATGTTTATCTCATTTTGCTATAAACTTCCTGAGAAAGGACAAAAATAGAAGAGAATAACCAACTCTTCCTCAAAAACAAATATAGAAGCTAACCAAGGTTATCGTAGAAATTCTAACTCTACAACAATGTTAAAACTTTTGTAAAGGGGATATTGTTTCCTATTATCATAACTGTTCATTATAATGAGAATGGTTTGATTAAAATGGAGTTGATTAGAAAGTAAATATTTTGTGGAAAATACCAAATTTAGCAGCTTTTAATGACACATTTGTTGGTACTTTCCTGGATTGAAATTAATTCATTAAAAAGACATTATTTCACGGTGCCAACTCTTGTTCAGTTAAGCACCTATGTAGGTTTATGAAAGTTTATGGACATATACACAGATTCTGGGACACAGTAGTTATATTTTTCTAGAGGGCTCAGAAATAATCATAGAAATAGGATTCTTAAGAGAGAATATGATATTTATAGGTCATTCTTTATGTTGTGGTTGAAACTAGTTAATGTCTTTGGTTTCTTTTTACAGTGGAGTCCCTGCTGAGTGTAGGAGCCTCCATATGTAGAGCTGTTGGAAAACATCTGGCACATTTCTTTTGATCGTGTCATTTGGCTAAACATTTGGCCAGTTGCTTTGTCCATTTTTAACCTGCTCAATTCTCCCTGATCATTAATCCTTCATGTATCCACAAAAGTTCAGATAATTTATGGTGTTATAGAATCACTTTCATGTGGATAAAGATAACTTTTTCTTAACTTTTTTTTGATATAATATTAGACTCATGGAAAACTTGAAAAAGTAGTACAGAGAGTTCCCTATAACCTTCGCCCAGCTTCCTCTAATGTTAACATTTTGCATAACCATAGTTCCATTATCAAAACAGAAAAAATAACAGTGGTACAGTACTGTTAAATAAACTATAGACTTTATCCTGCCTTCACCAGTTTTTCCACTAGCATTGGAATTTTTCTGTTGTAGAATTGAATCTGGGGTCTCACATTGACTTTAGTCTTGGCTCCCAAACCTCCTCCAATCTGTGACAGCCTGTCCTTTTATGACCTTGGCACTTGCGGAGTACTGATTGGTTGTTTCGCAGGAAGTCTCTTGGTTTGGATTGGTCTGATATCTTCTTATGATTAGATTGAAGTTTTGCATTTGGGGTGGGAAGTCTGCAGAATGATGTCAAGTGTTTCTCAGTACATCATGTCTCATTAATGATGATGTTAGCTGTGATCACCTGAGTAAGGTGGTATCTGCTAGGTTTCCCTACTGTAAAACTACTGTTTTCCCCTGTGTAATTAATATATATCATGGGGGGCATACTTTGTGACTATAAAATCTCCTGTTTCTCCTCAAACTTTCCTCTTCTGATTTTAGCGTTCATTTATAGATCTTGCGAGTAAAATTTATTACCATGGTATTCTAATGGTAATTGTCTATTTTCTCAATCCTTCTACATTGACTTATTTTACATACTATAAAATCCACATTCTTTCTGATTTTATTGTTTTTACTCCTTCACCTTTAAAAAGTCAACCAAATATAAAAAAGCATCAGTAGTCATTTAACCTACTGTTCTTTTCACTGTTTTG